GAAAGATTTTAAGTATTCAGTGCTTAAAATTTTCAAGTATTTTATTGTCTCTAAAATCTAAGTGCCTTAACTCTTTCCAGATTCAGCTATGCAAAATACTTTTTTTTAAATGTTAGTCTTTTAGATTGACATTTTTGTTATATGACTGTGTTGCTTTCTGGTCTTATTGTATGACATGAAATTTAGTCATATACTTGTTACAAAACTGCTTACTACATGCAGCTGGTTTAAAAATTTGTCTTACAACTGAACAGAATTAAACTAGTGATTAGTTGCAATGTTAATGTATTTTTTCTTCAAATAAAAATATGTACTACAATAAAGAATTTGCAAAACAAAACTCAATGTCATATTTCATTGTGTTATTTGTGTCATACCAAGACATATACTATAATTGCACTTGCAAATGTAATTTATTTTATTTCACAGACTCTAAATAGGCTTTTATACATTTACAACTTCAAATTAATATTGTTACATCTCTGAAGGCAATGAAATCCAGAACACTGCAAATACACAAATAGCGTTTTTAAGCCTCAGGTTCCGCCAGTCACCAGATTAAATATTTGTAAACATTTTTTACAATTAGGAATTGTCATCTTAAATTATTTTTCACACACTTGTATGATAAACAAAATATAGCTTTTAGGAGATCATGCTATCTAACCAATCCTCAAGTTGCTCTTCAGTAACATTTTTGGAAGTAGCTTCCGGCGGTTGAGATGTTGAGCAAATTTCTTCAGCTCTATCTGGTTCTAAGTGATCTGACAAAAGAAAAGAAAGTTAAATAATAATACTTTTATAAAGAAAAGGCAAGGAAAATGATAAATATTCTGAGTGTTAGCTACAAAACAGTGCCGTTATGATTTCATCTTAGTTCTCAAATCATTTAGGAATATACAAAAATACAACCTGGAAACCAAACATTTGTTATTTACCAAGTTCTAGCATGTGGAAGCTTCACTTGCACAGCACAAACTCAGTAACTCCACCCTTTCCTGTAATCAAAGGTGCCTTTTAATGTTCCTGTTCCAGTGCCTGCTTTCCCATTGGCTGGATCCTTCCTACCATTAGCCCCAGTGACTTCTAGACTTTTCCTGCATAGGAATAATTGATAAAACTGGAAACTTTTATCAGGAACCTGATTGGCTTGCAGTGTTGCTAATCAATCTAGCCGACTGTGCGACGAACTGTAATAATAATAATACTGCTTGAAAATCCAGACAAAAGGAGAGAATGCAAATAAATCTCAAATGACAAATTCAAAGGTGCAGAATTTCAAGGATACTACTGATAATGTTTCGTTGATCCTAGAAATGATTGTTGGTGGATTTTATTCCTTTCTTATTTAAATTTTCAAAATGTCTGGTAATTGAGGATCTTTGGACAGTTTACAATAAAACATGAACACAGCAAAAATATGTATGCATATTCAGAAAGCTGGAACGAACATATAGCTTTGAATTTTTCAACATTAGCAACAGCCTGGTAAACAATACTATGTGTGAAATAGCCTTAGCAATATTTCATACTGTAGCTATTAGTGAAAGTGCAGACACGGCTATCATATAATTATATGATATTCAACTTTCAGTTTAGACACTTATAGTCTGCAGATTATCAAAAACTTGGTGGAATATTACATCTGCAAAGCTGTGGTGTTATTGCAACATTTTTTGCAATCAGAGTTCTCGTCTAACTGAATGATGCTGAGCAAATTATATAGCAGCACAACTAAATCCAGAAACATTATACTTGTATCCTCAAGATTTAAGGATGTATGAAAAGAGGGAAAACTGATAAAAGTTATCATGCTCTAAGAACTACCTGCACAGTTTTCTATTGATTATGTGTATGCACATGTGCGCACGCGTACACACATACACAGATTTCATGAAGTGAATGCTTCTGAATGTGAATCAATGATTTTCAGACCTAAATCTTACTTTGTAAAATAAGGTAACAATCCAACAATCCATAAGAATTCAATTTCTAACAACTGCTACAAAAACTTAAAAAGTTACAAGTCCTGATGTTTGCTAGGGCTGCTTCATTATTCAAGTTGCTTCATAAATGCAGCCTGATACTTCCTGAAACATATCCTCTGGCACACAGTAAATTAAATAATAGGATATTATTTTGATGATTCATTTTCATTGAGTGAAAAAAGTTAAGATTCTTTTATATGAGAACTTGCAAGAAAATAATCAAGTGGATACTAATTCCATAATTACTTTTATAAATATTCAGTTTGCTCAACTGTCAGATAGGTTTCCAGAGAATGAAGTTCAAAATTGATCTACTTTTGACTATACAGCAACAAAACAGTGTAATTTCAGGCGTGGCATTAAGCAGATCAAATTTTCTTATGTTCCAAATACAAAGACTTTCTTATTGAAAATACTGTTACAGTCAATCAGTACCATGACTTAAAATATTAGAGTAGGTAAAAATCATCAGAAACAAATTAGTCTCAAGTTATCTGGATTTGGTTTTGCATATCAGAACCAACTGTCTCATAATTGGTGGGATATTCCTAGAATCCAGAGCAGACTATAAGAGTGATTTCAATTTAATGCATGCTTTAGAAAACAAATTATGGAATAGTTTACAATTAATTTATTTGGTTGTACTTAACTCTCTCTGTAAGAGTTATCAAACTGATGGAGGATTGAATAATCAGGGTTGAGCTTATTCTGTCTGGGCAAATGCTAAAATTTGCAGGAAAAATAATGAAGTATGTTAAACATTTTTCTCTGAAGTCTTTCAGACACCAGTTTTCTTAACCTTGGTAACATTAAGATGTATTCCTCAGCCAGCTGTGATTGGCTGGGGAATTCTGGAAATTGAAGTCTGCATATCTAACATTGCTAAGGTTGAGAAACAGTGCACTAGCCTCAGGCCCAATAAATAGGCAGGCAAGAATGCATATAGTATACCTTATTTTAGCTTCATGTGCATTTATTAATATTGTAAAATTATCTTCATCACAAATATTTTAGCAATCTATATTATTTGAATTATGCTTGGTTGCAGTCACGCAACAGTGCACATCTTTGAACCCTAGTTCACAAAATGACACTAAAGAAATGTTTGCATCACAGCCTATCCAATATGAAAGACAACACTGCCCTCTAAGCATCCGTTTGCTGCTGTAATTTATTAAATGCTGGACTTAATTTAGGTTTTTGCCCTAACCTATAATGCTTTTAGGTTAAAAGAGTAGCGATCAGAAAAACATTCCATGAACTGCAATTACCAGACTTTTCTTTCACACTGCATTATCATTAAGAAATTTTAAAGATCACGAGGTAAGCCAGAATCAGCATCTTGACTACTTGGTTGATACCGTCAAATAGTTTTTGATTCCTAGAGATCATGTAGATAATCTTCTCCAGATCTATATATGTATAATTGAGAAATGTTGCCAAATCCTTTTCCCGATTAATATAAAGTGTGGCATGCATCAATCTCTCTAAAAAAATTAGTTTTCCTGTAATTTTATTCCATTCTATTGAAAAACAAGTTTCTATTTGTACTTTTCCTATAAAACATTATGGGAGATTGAAACTTTCTTTTTCTTAATCTTATTCTAGATCTGGGGATCAGTCCAGATTTAAGTGATTCAGACCACATCAGACTCTTACAATTTCAAATTGAATTTAGAGTAAGATATGTATGTATGTATGTATGTTTTTGCATTCCCAGATGCAGGTGTAAAACATTTACCAATAATTTAGAATGTGTGAATAGACTAGAATATTTAACTCAAAAATACAATGTGAAATTGGAAAATAATTTAGCATATCATCCTAAATTCACTTTTTAAGAAAAAAAACCAGTAACTATTTCCCACAAACCTTATTTTTTTGTTTTTGCTATGTGTTTCTTCTTTTATATGAAACTTAAAAATAGTTTCAGAATTTATTCTGGACAGTTTTGCCAGAATAGGGCTAAATAAAAGGTATAAAATTAGTGAGTCACATAAGGGCTTTACTCTCTCAACTATAAAGTGTGACCTGTTCTTTTTTTTTAACCATAGCTAGAATATCTATTTTGCATTCGTTCCCACTCGCATTTGTATTCTCACAATTCCCACTCTATATCCTATTTTTTTCCAATAATATACAGGCAGTCCTCGACTTACAACAGTTCATTTAGTGACCGTTCAAAGTTACAATGGCACTGAAAAATGTGACCTATTTATGTTCTTCACAGTTACGACCTTTGCAGCATTCCCATGATCATGTGATCAGAATTCAGATGCTTGGCAACTGGTTCATATTTATGACTTGCTGTGTTCCAAGGTCATGTGATCATCTTTTACAACCTTCTGCTAAGCAAAGTCAATGGGGAAGCCGGATTCACTTAACAACCGGGTTACTAACTTATCAACTGCAATTATTCACTTAACAACTGTGGCAAGAAAGGTTGTAAAATAGGGCAAAACTCACTTAACAAATGTCTCACTTAACCACAGAAATTTTGGGCTCAATTGTGGTCGTAAGTCGAGGACTACCTGTAATTCGATAATCTTCGTTGTACTGATTTTAAAATATGGAAGGCTTCAAAAATATGTTTCAGTGAAGAAGTATGTTTAACTGTTCAGCTTAAGCAGACACAGAAGCCAGCTCATAATGGAACTTAAATCATGTTGGCATCAAAACCTTTCTGCTTTAAATGTATTCAGTTTTACACTCCTCTTATTTTCCAAATTAATGTAATCTATGTAATTTATACAATACAACAACGACAACAGCAATGAACACCCCATTGTGAAACCTAAAAGGCCATATTGAAGACAAATCATCCTAGAGAAAATCTAGTTAGGTGGTTGCTAAGAATTGAATCCAACTTGACAGCATCTAACAATATTAATAGGTACACAAGGGAACAACAGATTCTCATGTAACTGCATAGAGGGGGTAAATAGAGGAGGATTCAGAAAACAGACACAAATAGAGGATGCTTAGAGATAATTTCTGAAACAGTGATGGACTACAGCAAAATGATTTGTGACAAGAATGCTGGGGGAAATATAACTTCAGCCAAGGAATACACTGTAACACCTGGTGCTCTCTCATCACTAGAAAAGGCAGGTTCATCCACATGATACACTAACGTGGTTCTAGTTAATAGCCATCTGCAGAGCCCTAACCTGAATATTTTATTGCTTCGTTCTAAAGTACTATCTCCTATTGAAGTCTAGCATGTGCTCTGAAATGGGACTATGAACGATGAACCAAGAACTTATTTCTGCTAGATCACTATGGTCCATTTTCAGTAAAGGAAGATCTCCATCTACTTTTTCAGATAGGAAGAGAGTCAGTTTGGTCTAGTGATTAAGGTACCAGTCTAGAAAGTGAGAGATTATGAGTTCTAATCCCACCTGACCTTCGTTTTACTACTTGGAGGACCCTTAAGAGGTTGGCAATTGGAGTGCCTAAATGTAAAACCAATGTGCTCAAGTGGAAGCTCTTCGAAGATAACAACACACATTATGTGAATGTGGAGAGACACAGAGCCCAGCCCATCAGCTGGTAAATTGGTTACTACCAGAAACATGTACCGATAATGATTTATTTTTGGCCGACAGAGCCAAGAAAGTAGCTTCATTCTGGCATTTAAAGTTTGATCTAGACACAGAAGAAGAACCTTAGACACGAAAACTGACTAGGTGACTTTGGGCCAGTCCTACCCACCTCACAGGGTTGTTGTTGTGTGGAAACTAGGAGGAAGAAGTTATTTTAGATAGGTTTGATAGCTTGAGTTATTCATAAAAATAATATAGGCAGGATAAAATAAAAAAATAATAAATAAAGAGCCAAGTTCATACTCTAGGCTTCTTTTATATAATCTCAATTCACTGTATGGAAAAGAAGAGGCATGATTTTTTTTCAATAGATTAAGCAAGATGATCCATGACATAAGATACACTATACATCAGGGGTCCCCAACTCGTGGGCCACAGCCCACAACTGAGCCGTGGCCTACTGGCCACTGGGCCACGTGACAGGCTGGCCAGTGCATGCACGTGTATGTGTGAACTCATCCCCACTTGTGCTAGTGTCATGGCTGCACGGTGAAAATGGGGCACCACGTGGCCTAAACGGGGGGTGTGCGGCAAAAATGGGGCAGGGCTGAATGTCACATGGGCACTAGTGCCACCCTATTTGCGACACATGCATGCTCGCAGCCCAGTTTGCATGCGCATGCGTAAAATGTTTCCCCGTCCCTTTCCTTCTGATCTGCCAACCAAGAAAGATTGGGGACCTCTGCTATACATGACTGAGATAACAATATATTATCTAGTTAGGTATAATGGCATAAAATGTTTGTGGAAGGAAAAATATTTTACTGATTGCATTGAAAATAATAACAATAATAATTAGAAAAAGACAGGCGAGGAAAAATGCCTAATACTTACCAGTTTCTTCAAAAGTCCTTATCAAATCATCCCCAGATGGCAGGCCATCTGCTACCACTTCCAAAGCAATATTGTTTTCAGGATTAATAGGGGCATCTAATTTCAGGAGCAGATCAAGGTCTTCATCCAAATCATCTATTACTTGATGTAAACTTGAAGGATTTCTCTGAAGAGCCTCTGAAGAAATTCCAGATCCATCTTTATTTGACAAAGTCAAGGGAACAGCAGAATCTTCCTTGGGATAACAGTGTGATCCAACTCTCTTTTGCTGTTGCAATAGATCACCACTTTTCTTGGCCATGTCATGACTTTGCAGCTTAATCTGGGGAAGCGTGACTGGGGTTGCATCCTACAGTGATAAGAAAACAGCCCTAAACAATGGTTGATGCAATAGAACAACTTGGTAACCCAAATTGAAATTTAGCTTCCACCAGGAAAAAAACCCAGTAATACTCATCTATACATACTCACAAACTATGGAAAATAAACTCATACTGTATAGAAGTAAAGGAAAATTGCTCTAAAAAGTACGATTAATATTTAAATATTTTAAGAAGCTCCAGTTTCAGCCTTTTATTTACCAAGATACATGTGCCATAGTATACTGCTCACAAAAATAAAGGGAACGCAAACCCCTTCAGTTCCATGGTAAAATGTTCCCTTTATTTTTGTGAGCAGTATACAGTATAATAACCTGCATAATCTTCTTTCTTACTTTTGCAAGGATTTGCCTACAATCTTTTTATACTTGTGCTTTCTCCTGAAATAAGCCTGAGGTCAGACAAAAAGAACCAGTGGAACCAACAGCCTGCCAGGTCCTTTTCCAACGAAGAGCTTAGAGCAGTGGTGGCGAACCTATGGCACGGGTGCCAGAGGCGGCACTCGAAGCCCTCTCTGTGGGCACACGTGCTGTTGTCCCAGCCTTGCCTCCCCCCGCGACCCCCTCTTCTCCAGCAGCCCCCCTGAAGGAGAGTCGCCCTTGAGCGTGGCCCACGCAGAGCAGCATAGCCAAGGACATGGCAGCCAGGCAGCGTAGACAAGACTCTGCCCTTACATCCCATTGTGCACAGTTGATGCTGCAGGGCGCGGGCAGATGGCGTGACCGCCATAGCGCTGCTGGGCTGTCTGGGGGATCTGCGGTGGGCCCTGGAGGCGGTGAGTGGTCCTGCGGGCAGGCAGGGTAGGGGATGGGGGGATGGAGCGGGGGCGGGGCAGCTTTTGGGCACTCGGTCTCTAAAACGTTCGTCATCACTGGCTTAGAGAAAACCAAATAGTAAGGACAGCTTCCTTTCCCCACTTAGTTTGCAATTTCATCTGATTCCTCAGGAAGCTGAAAAATAATGCCAACAAAATGGGAAGCATTCATTCCTCTGAACAGCACAGACTTTTATGTTGCCTTGACACTGACACTGACCTCCACTAAACACTGCTGAAGATGTTACCTCGCCTGGTAGTGAAACGTTCGGAAACCAACCCACAAGCTCGGAGAACGAACTTTCACCCACAGATTTTTATTTTACCATTGAAAGATCTGATCAGCTTACAATAATCAAGGACACCAAATTGGTCCATTCAGTAGCAAGGAAAAAAAAGATAGAAGGAAATGTAACTTCCTATAGCCTGCAGTTCACTGACTTGCTGGCTCTCATCAGGCACAGTAGGAGAATCTGTTACTTCATTACAGCACAGAATGCGCCCTAACGGTGGATAAAAAAGCCAGCCACTGCTTTTTAAACAATTAACAGCAGGAAAAGCAATGACATCCAGCCTTGCCATTGTGTGTAAAGGAAGGAATTTGACTTGCAAAACAAATGCAAATTTCTCTGCTACAATCACAGAAGTGACTTTTGAGTTGGAACAAGAAAAAAATGAGCAACATCAATATCGGAGTCGCTTTAGGCAATCCTTCAGGAGAACAAAACAGGTTTGAGTTCTTATATTGCTGGCTTTTATCTAACCTGGAATGATTTTTCTAGCACTAGACATACCGTAAACTTACCCAACAGCTACGTTAATTCACATAACTTCTTCTCAGTCTACCTGAATATTTTGCTTTTTTCCCCCGCTCCCTTCCCACATTCAGAAGATATTTTATATTAATGATGCTACCAGGAATTATAAACTCTGGGCAAAAGTAATTGTTTTTTATATAGGTCTGCATAGCAGCTGCACTGCTGAACTAGATCCACTACATAATGGACAAGATCAAAGGAAGGATTACTGTAAAGATCAGTAAGAACAGGAAAGAAATGTTCTCTGCGATGCTGATAACAAGAGTAAGTGTGTGTGTGTGTGTGGGGCAAAGGAGGTGTGTGTCAAAATCCGAAGTAACAAAACTAGAACGAGCAAGTCTTTGGGGATGCTAGTCTTGACCGAAATGCACTTGGCATGTGGAAAACATTTTGTTTTAGAGGAGCTATGAAGCGGAAGAAGTGCTGATAGGAAATTCTGCTGTTTAATAGCATCCTTCCCTTGTGGAGCTGAAGTAGTAACATTAAAATAATATGAGGCTCTTTAATATGGCTTAAGGTATTTTTGAGGAAGTTGGGTATTACCTGTACCAGTTCAGCAGCCATGTTGAGTTTGAGGTGCAGAGGCAGTTCTTCAAGGGCTTGAACCAAGGACTGGCAGTCAACGTACAAGCCTGACAACTGAAAACAGAGTGCATGCACACCAGATTAAAACTGTGTTCATTTTGATCATCAAGTTAGTGCAGTGGTTCTCAACCTTTTTAATGCCGCGACCCCAATCGGTCGTAAGTCGAGGACTAAACCGGTCGTAAGTCAAGGACTACCCAACCGGTCGTAAGTCGAGGACTTTCCCTGCCCGGGAGCGCCGCACATACGTGGTTCCGCCCCCTGCGCCAGCTGAGGCGTAGCTGGCAAGCGGCAGAGACGGAGCAGGCCGACCACCAGCTGGCCCAGCCCAAGGGAGGTAAGGCACCCGCCGGAAAAGGGGAAAAAATGGCGGACAAAAAAAATGGCGGACAGCCTTGCTTGGCGACCCCCATGAAATGGTCGATTGACCCCAAATGGGGTCCCGACCCACAGGTTGAGAACCACTGAGTTAGTGCAACAAAGCCTTTTCTCCTAGGTTAGGGAAGACTAACAGCCATGGGAGTACCTTATTCTTTCAGCGCAAGCAAAGCTATAAGAGATTTTCATTACACTGGATTGGATAACTCATGCACACCTGGTTTCATATACAAACTGAAGCATTAACAAGCAACCATCTCTTACCTTGAACTTAGTAATTTTGACAACATTGATTTCCTTTACATTAGTACAGGTACTGCAATTCTTAGTATTTTCTGAAAGAATATGGCAACAAGCCACTACACACGACAGGCAGAGGCATAGAACTATTATTCCATTTATAAAGAGGATAAAAATCAATGAAATATGCTTCCATTTAATTTTTTTTTTAAAATAGAGGACCATACTTTTTACAAATACTTTTTAAAAACTACTTTTATTGTACTTATTGTTATTTCAGTGGTTCAGATTTCTGCTATTGGTTTTTAATGTGCTACAAATTTCTTGTTTATACTTTGCCTGATACTTCATAGCGCAAAAATGATCGAAATATATTGTTGATGAAATGACTAAATAACCAATCAGAACCTGGACCAATTCAGGAAGCTTGCAGATCTTTATGTCTTTTAAGATTTGTTATTGCTGTTAGCACTGTTTTGAAATTTGCCATAATTTTAAGACCAAAGATACTTGTAGAAAACATTCTAACACTTTATCACTATTTGAAATGACCAAATTATTTTCATTCAAATAATCTGAAAAAATCTGAGTTAATGATACTGTACTGATATCCACTTATGTTGAGCATAAAATAGTAATCATCTGACTCCTTTGAAGTTCACGTTACTTTTCTGAGACAATAGAACATAGAATAATAGAGTTAGAAGGGACCTTGGAGGTCTTCTAGTCCAGGGCTTTTCAACCTTTTCATCCATTGTACCACTTTTAGAATATGGCAACATCCGAGTACCACCAGTCACCTAGCAAGGTGTCAAAAACTTGATGACCAAAAAAAAAAGGTAGTCCTCGACTTACAACAGTTCGCTTAGTGACTGTTCGAAGTTACAATGGCACTGAAAAAAGTGCCCCCCCAAGCCATAGCTGAGCAAGACACCTGCCTGCCCACCCGGCGGCGCTCTTCCTCCTGTCCGAGGTTTTCATTGTTGTGAGAATTTTTGTTGAGGATTGGCAGTGGGGGTGGGGTGGGGGGTGTTTGGTTTTTATCCCCCCTGTCTGCTGGGTGGTTGCAGCAGGTTTTGGTCACTTCGCATGACCCTGGGACACTGTGACTGTCATAAATATGAATCAGTTGCCAAGCATCTGAATGTAAATCACAAGACCCTGGAGATGCTGCAACATTCCAGCTGATCGGCGCTTCTCTGGGCTCAGCAGAAGCACCAGGATCAGCGCCGAGCTCCAGCTGGAGCCTGCCGCTGATCCTGGTGCTTCCACTGAGCCCTGACAGCCCTGCAGCTCCAGCCATCTCTCGCTCAGGCTTGTGCAGTGCTGGTTCAGCTCATTCCCCTCCCCCGCTACCACTTTTCTAGGATGGTCACGTACCACCTGCCAGGTGCCAATGTACCACAGGTGGTACCCGTACCACTGGTTGAAAAGCCCTGTTCTAGTCCAACCTCCTGCTTGAGCAGGAGACCCTATATCATTTCAGATAGTGGTTGTCCAGTCTCTTGTTGAAAGCCTCCAGTGATGGGGCACCAACAAGGCATTCCACTGGCTGATTGTTCTCACATTAGGAAATATCTCCTTAGCTCTAGGTTGCTTCTCTCTTTGATTAGTTTCCATCCATTGCTTCTTGTCTTGCCTTCTGGTACTTTGGAAAATCGGTTAACTCCCTCTTCTTTGTGGCAACCCCTCAAATACTGGAACACTGCTATCATATCTCCCCTAGTCCGTCTTTTCACTATACTAGACATACAATTCCTGCAACTGTTCTTCATATATCTTAGTCTCCAGCCCCCTAATCATTATTGTTGCTCTTTTCTGCACTCTTTCCAGAATTTCAACATCTTTTTTATACTGTGGTGACCAAATAAACAATAAACAAGTCGAGAAAAAGATTTCATGGAACTAAATACAAGAAATTCTTCAAAAGATTCCTCAAAAAATACTGTTTTATAAGATATCCTCCGTTGTGCCATTGGATGTTATATTCTGGATGGAAACAAGGTCACAGTATGATGCCATTTCATCATCTGTCTTCTGTAATGGGCATGACAAATGAGAAAAAGGAAAGCCAAACATGAGACCCAATTGTAAGAAGCAGCCTAGAATCTTCTCTGATTTTGGCACACACATTAGCCTAATACAAAACAAGGGGATAGAAATAATAGAATGCTTTCCTGAGCAGTTGCTGATGTTATTACCAACAGCTGATAAATGTGCAGATGGCATGATAAAGGAAGAGAAATAGATTTCTTTTCTCCATCATCAGTGGATTCATTTCACTTCATTAGAGACTCTCAAAGTAAAGCTGTAATCTAGCAATTTCCTAACTTTAACAGTAAGGCTAGGTTAAAATCAGTAGATAAATCTTTTGTCTCCTCACCTCTTTTTAGTAAATTAGACCTGAAGTTGGAAGACATTATTTATCTGTCCATCTTTCAAAGTCCCTTTCTGTACTTTACTCTGAATTGTGTTTGACAAATCATTTTTGCCTTTTACCCGTCCCTCTTCAACTCTGGTTTTCAGTCATAGAATTTTAGAACACAGATGAGGAATTGGGAAGGTAATCCTTTTTTCTTGTGGTGTGTAAATTATGACCAAATTGATCTTGCCTTATTTTAAAAGCCATCTTAAGATTGAACAATGGTGGGAAAGCTTGCTTTAAGCATGCCTTTTACATACAGATCTCACGAAAAATATATTTCAGAATGCTGATCAACACTAAGGTGGTAGGCAATGTGGCCCAGTGATCTGATCTGGTTTGGATCCTGGGATAAATAGCTGTTATCCATCTCCCAAAATAATTATCAATGCATTTCAGGAGGATGTGGCAAAATCTACTATTGTGTTCAGATGTTTAGTATCTCTTTTTACTACTTCAATGGTAAAGTCCTCTTCTATCAAGACTTAACAGCTAATAGCCATGCCTTTGAACTCTACAATGAATTTTCTGTATCAAACTATGACAGAATTTTATAGTAGACAACTTTCTGCTTACTAAAACCATACAGTATGTGTGGCTGATACAGTCATGTATACAACTTGTACTGTTCCACTCAGTTGCAGATTCAACTATAGTCCACGTCCATTTTTTTTAGATACATACTGTATTGGTTTGTTTGGGCTGATACTAAGATTTAACATGGATGTGGGAGGACTGATTTTAATAGTTTTTATGTAATAGCTGGGTTATTTTACTCTCTTTAGATTTAATAACACTCACTTAGCATTTATAAAGAGCACTTTAAGTGTTCAAAGCACTTTGCATATATTACTTTAATAATCCTTACAAGGTAAGGAAGTAATATAATTCTTATTTTCCTGGGTTGTGTGTGTGAATGTGTGTGTGTTGCATGAAGACTGAGAACAGTAACAATTGCCTACTGTTTTAAGATGATGCCTGAAACAATATTATGCTTTTATCAGTTTTATGGGTATTAAGCAACCCATGCTCCATTGGGTCATGATTTCAGAAAAAAAAAATCCTTACCTAAACAGAGAAACAGAATGACCACAGGTGAGTAAAAAAGCAGAGGGAGCAGGAATTATTTCCAAATCACCTTCCCCATTGAATTTTCTTGTGATAAACTGGTAAGGGAGCATTAGAAATCTTCCTTCCTTCTTCCCTCTTCCCTTCCCTTCCCAGCAGACAGGTAACTTTGAAAATTTGGATCATGTGACTGCAGCAGCATCCAACAGCACTTAAGCAGTCACAACTTTCCCAAATTTCATTTCCTTGGGAGTCGTAGGTCACAGATTTTGCATACATCCTATAAGGTAGTCCATATGCGGTGTTCTTAATTCAAAAATTGCTGTCCTGTCATGATGCACTGATTCAAAAATTGTTGCCCTATGATTTCACTCAATTTTAAAAGTTACAAACATGAGAATTTCAGAAGTATATAGATAAACCTACTATATCTGAAAGACAAAGGCCACTCTTTTGAAGACAGAAAAGTTCACATTCTGGACATAGAGAACCACAGGGCTGAAAGAGGGGTCAAAGAGGCCATCTATGTTAAAAGTGAACAGCCCTCTCTTAACAAATAGGGAGGGATTCAATACCACCTCTCTCCTATCTACAACACAGTCCTTTGTGTTGATTCACTCTGATTCAGGTGACACTGAGGGTACAGGTGAACCCCCAAGTGGCCTCAATGACTCTCAGAGAGCTAACAGCTGATCTTCAGAATGCCAATGAACAAATGGCTGCAAAGAATAGAAACCCTTCCATTCCCCTTCAGTCAGAACTGAAGAAGATTCTTGGATAAGAAGAAAAACATTTTCAAGAAAAGAAAAGAAAAACCAAGAAAGTCCAGTTGCCTTTTGAAAAGCACTTTTGGGGCATAACCTGGATGACTGAGAATCTCCACAGACATAAACCTATTACACTCAGATGATACACAAAAACAACTTTTACTTGCTCCATTATCTGATGAAGAGTTTAAACAAATAATTTTAAAATGCCAAGCAGAAAAACACCAGGATCGAATAGATTTCCTATAGAGAGGTAAAATATTAATAGATCTTTTGGTGTCAAAACTTTGTCAATTGCATCATGAGGTACTTAATAAGGGAATATTACCAGAGATATTATATTGCAATTAAGCAAGAGTTTTAGCAGTATATAGTGTAGATATTTATTAACTGCCATGGAAATAATGAAATTTAAAAAAGATACACAGCAATTTTTAAAGGAAGACTTGTTTTCCATTACCTGCTTTGGGCCAAGGTTTTCTGAAATCCACTCTTTTTCTTCAGTGAATCTGAATTGGGTAAAGGAATCTCCTGAAAACAAAATGACATTTAAGTTGAATAGACACCCATTTATCAGAAATGACTGAGGTTATATTAATGTAAAAAATAAAGCATGAGATACAAATAATTAAAGGCTGCTGGAATTGGGTATGTCTAGTTTCAATGAAGAGAAGGACAAGGGGGGACATGATAGCAGTGTTCCAATATCTCAGGGGCTGCCACAAAGAAGAGGGAGTCAAGCTATTTTCCAAGGCGCCTGAAGGCAGGACAAGAAGCAACGGATGGAAACTAACCAAAGAGAGAAGCAACCTAGAACTAAGGAGAAACTTCCTGACAGTTAGAACAATTAACCAGTAGAACAACCTGCCTCCAGAAGTGGTGAATGCTCCAACACTGGAAGTTTTTAAGAAGAGACTGGACAACCATTTGACTGAAACGGTATAGGGTTTCCTGCCTGAGCAGGGGGTTGGACTAGATGACCTTCAAGGTCCCTTCCAACTTTATTATTATTATTATTATTATTATTTATTATTATTATTATTATTATTATTATTATTAACCACAATTACAAAAATGGTGAGAACATAAGGTGTTGCTAAAAGTAAGGACCAGTCAGCAGAATAAGAGTTATAGTTCAGCCTCTTATTATGCTTCCAGATTCCCTGTTTATTATCTTTCAGACTGTAAGAAAGCACATGTGGGACAGTCCGTGTTACAAACAAACTGGAAACTCCTTCTCTTAGACTTAGAGCCTCTAAGGTAAAATAGATTTTGCAAAATGTAGGGCACACTGCACACTTTATGCAGCATCCAGTAAGAATCAAAACTGGCATTTACCTAATTCAGAGAAATAGTTTTTATTCTGTTTGAAGAAAACTTCATCAGTTAGAGGTGTGTACTAAAGGCAAGCTTGTATTCAGGTTTTCGTACTTCTAAAACTAGCATTGTTTAATTTGAACACTTCCAGCATGCCGGGTATTGGTTCAGGTCTAAAGCAAAACCTTGCTTCAGAAAACCTGCTGAATCATTCTCCCTGTTAACGATCAGAGGGAACTGGACTGCT